CATTCCCCTCTGCTCCAGAGGTGGTCCCAAGTGCTGAGTACTGTGCCCAGTTCTGAGCTCCCCAGTGCACTAAAGACATTGGCATACTAGAGTGAATCCAGCAGAGACTCAGCAAGGGGCTGGAGCTCAAGACCTGGTGTGAGGTTATGGAAAAGGCAGAGTCAGACTCATTTTGGAGGTGCACAGTAATAGGATGAGCAGCAGCAGACATAAGTTGCTATAAGGGAAAGTGATTCGATATAAGGGAAAAATTATAATGAGGATCATCAAACACTGGCACAGGTTGTCCAGAGAAAGTGTAAAATCTCCTTCATCAGAGATCCCCAGACTGGTTGCAGTCCTGAGCAACCCAATGTGACTCAAAGCTGGCCCAGCTTTGAGTAGTGGGTTGGACCAGATGACCTCCAGAGGTAATTCCCAACCTGCATTATCCTATGACATAAAAAGTGAAAGGCTTAGTAAAGAAATTAGTCTCCAGTGCCTCACTTTCCACGCTGACTGAGTGCTAATCAAAAGCCACAGGAATGGACGTGAGGCGCTAAGCCTGAGCTCACAGCAGGATTAACACCGTGGTACAGGAGGCTTACCTGGCTGTTGTCGCCCACCAACAGAACCTGAAGAGACAAGGGGAAAAATAAAATAAATTTACCACCAAATCATTTTGTGAGCTCAAGATCAGGTTTATATTGCCTTCATCTCACCTAAGTGGTGCATATTTTCCAGAAGCAAGCCCTGTAGGGGTTAGGGAGGGGAAATATGGATGTCTACCACCCAGAGACCCCCCAGATGAGTAGCACCCACATGAGGCAGGCCTGGAGACAGGGGACCTTCCCACCACTAGCTAGATTGCGCCCAAATGGTCTTTGTTTTCCAAGGCTTTTGCCTCCTCCTTAAGCTGTGCGCCACAAAGGGCCTGGCAGAGGCTCAGCCCATTTATCTGAGGCAGCGCTAAGTCATTCTCAGACTTGGCTAAGAGGGTGCCAAGGGAGAAGAGTAATTTCATTTTGGGAGTGAAGCCCTTCTGGCTTCCACACAGAACAATGCTACCCTCTGAATTTAGGTTTCAGATGTGACACGAAGATTCGCTGAGTGTTTCTGCAGCCAGAGGCACCCCAGGAACAGACCAGGGAGCAGCGCTCCAGGAGCTGGGTCAGACATGTTGGTAGCGTAAGACTAGGACCCTCCATCCATGATTATCCTGGTGTCCTCAGCTCTCCAGGCTCTAACCAGCTGCCAGTCAAGAATCTACAGTACATTCCCACAGGGTCATCCCAATCCTATGAGAAAGAGGGGGGATGATTTTCAAAGCAGACTCACCTCTAACATTCTTGCAGGCAAGTTTACACTCCTCTTCTCGTAAATAGTTATTCTTGTTGGGCTTGCAGCCGCCAAAAGTGAACTCCTCACATTGCTGAAGGCTCGGGTTGTAAAACCAACGTGGAAAAGATCCCCGACACCAACCCACCTTCTTAGGCGTCAAACAATGCTCTATCAAGAAAATTAACATAAAAGGCTCTGGTTAGCTCTTTCAAAGGAAAGTTCATCAGCAATGTGGACACTTGTCTGAAAGATTTATAAAATCTTGAGTGGCATCAAGTAGGGAGTCATGGTATATATTTCCTAATATGAAAGCCAGGGTCACAAAATCAAATTAGAAGGTGCCACATCCATAAAAAACAAAAGGAGCTGCTGCTTCACACAGCACATAGTTAAGCTGTGATACTCCTTGCTTCAGGATGTTGCTGCTGTGCAAAGATTACACGAAGTCAAAAAAGGATTCATCCATGGCTACTAAACACAAAGACACCATCTTCTGCTTAAAAAAATCTCCCAGCCGCAAATTCCTTGGGCACTAGCCAAGCATTGTAGGGATTTACTGACAGCATGTCATGTTCTTGTACTCCTTCCAAAGTATCAGCCTCTGGACACTGTTGGATGCACTGTACTGGATTTTGGACAGACCATTAGCATCACCTGACATAGCTGTTCTTGTATTTTTATGATACCTGTGGTAGAAGGAGAAATTCCCTGCTTAGCTACTACTCAACCATTTGTCTAAGAACTCCTTGCTCCTAATGCACTTGTAATGCTGAACATTTTGATCATTAAACAAGGCCATTAAAGTAAAACATATAAATAAAGCCAGGGACACTTTGAATGTCATGCAGAGGGCTCCACCTATGCCACGGCTCAAGGGAATTAGGGCCTTCACAGCAAAACCATGAAGTCAACAAGACCTCTTGGGTTCTCCTGTCTTACACCCTCAGCTGCACCCCGGGGTTCAGCCACTCTGGCATCACCCAGCAGAGGGCAATGACATGCGGAGGCGGTGGGGTTATCGCACGCCACGTCCTCTACAAGAGGATGCAAAAATCCTAACATAGACCACTGTGAATGACTCCTGGTCAGGTGCAGGCTTTTACTGGGAAAAGTTGACATGCAAGTCCAGTCTCTTGATTGTGCTCTTTTCCCATCTACTGGTCTGAGAAGAGCACCAGTAATGCCCAAGCAGCACCCAGGCTTGGGGACTCCAGCTAGACATCTGTGGGCTCAGACTCACCTTCAGTCTGCTCAGAATTCAGCACCATGATGGTGATGTTGGTGAAGTCCTGCTGTTGTGCAGTGTCCGTGACAGTAAGCTGGAAGACGTAAGTCCCCACCTGCAGGTTGGAGATTTCTACCTTATCTTCTTCGTGTTTCTGAGAATGCAAAAGAAAGACTTATGCAGAAGAAAGGAACTCTAATGAGGGAGTGAGTGAAGCCATGCAAGGCCCGTGTTCCTGCATTAGGAAGAAAGAAGCTTGACTGGAAACCCCCAAGCAGATATCTGGCATTAAAAATGTCTCAGTGCTATACAATCCCTCCCAAATCCATGGGCTGGTACCCAGCTGGAATAGCAGAGAGAAAGAATACCACAAGCTTAATTAGATATTTCGTATTTTGGGACATTGTGAAGGCACAAGGGAAAATAAAAATCTTTGGAGAGGACTGAAATACTTGCAGTTTTTATTTTACTTTTTAAAAAATAAAACCCATTATGAATAATTTACTTAACACACAAGGAATAAGCTAGGTGTATTTAAGAAATATATAGTCTTTCATTTTGAATATGAAAAATATATTTAGTTTCAGAGATGGAAATGAGTGCCTATTTCTTTGCCTGCCAAGAGGTTTCTAAAAGAGAGTGAATTACTTTGTCAGAATAGAAACCTGTGATATTATCAACACAACCTTTTTCCCTTTATTTGCTAACAATATTGGGCCTCCATTTCCATGCTCTCTGTCTTTTTGTTTAGGTTTTGACAACACAGTGGTGCCATATATCATCTTAAAGTAGTTAACACAGTGTAATACTAGAAATACTAGAGGACGCTTTCTTTTTTTTTTTTTTCCCCCCTGAAAGTTGCTTTGGTTGGGCTGGGGAGAAGGGAAAAGGAAAGAAGCACTTCCAGATTTCCTCAAGCCCCCTCAGTACCCTAGAGCTAGTCATTGCTGATCTTCAAAATCAGCTGTAGGCCTGATGCACTCATTTGCTAGTTCTTCCAAAAAGTGCCACAAGAGCTCCATATGAGCTCCAAGGCTTTCCAGAGCATTTTGCAGAAGTTTAACAGTAATCATTTGCTCTTCTAAAGCCACAATTCACATTTAACATCTATAAGACAGTAATTGTTAACACCCCAGAGATCTTGGAGCCAGTCAGGAGACATGACTTCTGCTCCAGCTCAGATAAAACAGGAGAATGAACCCATGCCCTAAAGAGAGACAAAGTCCAGGAAAAGCCCCAGGAGAACAGAAGCAGAGTCAGAGTCCGGATTATTCAGAGCCGGAGGAGGAGAAGCACCAAAGAAGCACCTCTGCTACCAAACTCACTGAACTACAGGAGCTTGGGAGCAGAGGCAGCTCTTGCACTGAAGCTGCTGCCCTCATGGGTGCTCCCACCCAGGCAGATCAGGTGTTGCGCAGGAAGGTTTGAGATGGCGTCCTGGTGCAGGGAGCCTGAGACCTGATGAGGCCAAGAAATTCCATGTCCCAGTAGTGTGTGAGAGGGTGGGGGCAACCATGAGGAGTGCTCTGCAGCTTTTGGGAACAGGTTTCTGGGTGGATTGGCTCGAGGAGGGAAGGACAAGGTGAACTCTAAGTCAGTGGCTGTGAGAGCCCAACCTAATGCAGACTACAGATGACACTGAACAAGCTGCTTCCTTTCTGCAGCTCCCTACCTTCATCTCCACAGAGGGGTTGCCGAGGACCTGTTTCCAGTCATAGCTGACTATCCCATGGTCATCCGTGCTCTCTGTGCCTCTCAGTATCACCAGCTCCCCTGGCTGCACCCTCATGTCCATGCCAGTGCGGGCTATTGGAGGATGGTCATCTGCCGAAGGAATGCAGAGTAAGGCTTGGGTAAGAGGCTGAAGGGTCCAGTTCTTGTTTCCATTACAGGGGAAGGGGATTCTTCCAGTCTACATCAATACAGACTTCAACCACTTTTATACAGCTGTGCTTCTTGCAGCCTGAACAAGCAGCAGGCAATCAATACCGTTATTACCAACCTCACTAATTTAGTAACTCCGCGACCCACTCTGGCAGTGCCTTGGAGCCAGTTGGCTTCCTGGCCACTTTTGCCCACAGGAACCACTGTGGGAGGGTGTCCCTGTGGCTACAGCCATTGTGCTTGGACCACATCCTTGCAAAACAGCACGGACCAATCTCCACCTTCCACTTGGGGAGATGACCTGATGTGGGCGTTGAAGAATGTGGAACTGACTCTCATCATTCCTACCACCATCTCTAAGCACCGTGTTAGTGTACTTAACCAGAGCTATGCAATGCAGGATTTGGATGGAAAATATCCCTCCTCCACCTCATCTTCCACCCCACTCTCTGACATGCACGCCTTAAAAAAAGCACACAAATGCCATTCATGAGATCATTATTTTCGTGCCATTCCACGGATTAGCTTACCAGCAGTCTCCACAATCCATTAAACACTTTTCCAGACTGTAAGAAATGAAAACTGACCCCTGCCTGTGCCAGCAAGAACAGCCTATACAATGACACCGCAAGCCTGACTCATAACTCCTTTCAGCCTGAATGCCTCTGATCGCGGGCTTCCTGCATAGCTCAGCCCATAAATCTCCACCTGGTAGCACCTGTCCAAGTCCAAGACTCAATGTTCAAGTTCAACCTGAGTCTTTTGTAAAGACATCGATTGTCATTTATAAGTTAAGATGTAAATCACTCTACCATTACTCTGTTACATCAACTGTGACTGAAGAAGAGGATTAGTGCCAAACTCCTTGGAAAACTACTCCATCAGCTAATTACTTTCACTGTTGTAGACCTGCTCCTAATTTCCTGTTTGAGTGTTTCTGGATTCAGGTCCCACCTGTTGACTTTTGCTAGAGCCTACTGAAGCAACCTTTAATACACAAACAAAACTGACATTTAAAACAAGCTACTTTTTAGTTCTTTCATCACAAAATTCAGTATGATAGAGGGCTATGCAACACGTATTCCAGATCAGTTACCACAAATCCACCCAGAATCTTCTCTTTTCTAGTATCTTTTCCCAAATGAAGACATACTCATTCTATCCTGTTCTTACAAATGCTGCTGCCACCAGAGAGTGAAATAAACCTCCCCTTGTTCACATGTTCAAGCATTGTGCTCAGCCTGCTGGGCTGCAGAATCGGGGAGGGTATGTGGGTGCCAGCCCTCTGGGGTTCCTGGGCAGCCTGCTCCCCAGCTGCAGCCCTGCAGCTCACCTCCCTCGCGCCGGGCTGATGGGGCTGCAGTTTTACTGTGTAAGAGGTCAGTCACTTCTAGCTGGTGCAGCTGCAGGGCTTCTGGTTATGTTTATTGCACCGGTCTCTGTGATCTCTGCAATCTGCCACCGGTTTTATCTTTTATTCCATGTTTTCATGTAAGTATTGGGTGGGAACAATACGAGATCAAGCTGATATCGTTGAGCTTGATCCAACCACCAAAACATGCAGAGGAACACCCAGCTGAACTGAAGGAGGCCAGGAAGGTGACACCGGCATCACAGGCAGAGATGCCCACCCTGCTGTCCTCTTGCCTTTGGGTGAGGCACACCTCCCTGCTGCTCCTTACTCAGGGCTGCATGCCAGAATGATGGGTCCTGTCTCAGTCAGGCACAAAGTCTGCTGAAAGACACCAAGCTGGGTCAAGTGAGCCTGGCACCTCTTGATTTTGAGCAGGGCTGGTAAAACAAATAAATGGAGTTTTGCTTTATCTTCAACAGGTCTTTCCAAGGGCCACGGGAGCATTCGGAGGCCAAAACAATGACTGGAGCTGGCAACACCTTCAAAACCAAACAAGGAAAAACAGCCCCACAGCCACCTTGTACAAGCTCTGGAAAGGGGACACGTTCCTGCTGTTCCTCCCAGGCAAATGCCATGAGCTTGCCAGGGAGAAATGCAGCCTGCTCCCTGCCACTCTCCTGCCAGGGTGAGCGCAGTGATGGGTGCGATTGCACAAGGGGAAGATCAGTTCTTCAGCAACACAGAGCATGATCATTAACTCACAAGAACTCCAAATAATATTTTTTCTTGACATTTTTAAGCATGTACGCTTAAAAAAAATAAAATTGTAGGCCAAACGTTTCTCCACAGGTCAATTTAGTTACTTTGGGTTGCAGATTGCTGGGTTCTGATCAATGGGCCCAGCAACTTCTCCAGATCCCACCTATGATGAGCCAAATTCCCTAACCCTCCTCACCTCCAGAAAAACAGAGTACTTGTTTATGTGTGGTAACTGCCAAGGAGGAACTCCCACTAGAAATGAAGGACTTCATTTGCAAGTCTCTCCCTTTTCTCCTTAGGACGTCTGAAAGCTCAGTGACTTTGGAGTATTTCTGCTACACCGAGTATATGAAGCCTTCAGTGGCAACGTGACTGTTCTCCACCTGAGCTTCATAACCGAGTGCTGACTGAGCCACAGTATCAGCACACTGCTTGTAGAAGGGAGATTCTCCATTCAGTTTGTTTTGCTCTGAAAGTCTGTTTGAAAAATGAAAGTTACCTTTGCTATAATGCTCTTTTGACTATGGAAAGTTTCTGCTGCAAAACTCTGTAATTAACAGGGAGATTAAAGCTTTATGATGCTGCTCTGTGTTGTGCTCCTTAATGTGGAGCACATGCTCCTGGAGTTACATCATTAAGTGACAACTTCAGCTTCCATTTATAAATCAGAAGGGGAAGTACTTGAAAGGGGAAAACTGAAAGCTGGAGAGCGACTGTTTACAAGGGCATGGAGTGATAAGACAAGGGGTAATGGTTTTAAACTGAAAGAGGCTAGATTTAGATTAGGTATTAGGAAGAAATTCTTCCCTGTTGAGGTGGTGAGGCACTGGAACAGGTTGTCCAGAGAAGCTGTGGCTGCCCCCTCCCTGGAAGTGTTCAAGGCTAGGTTGGATGGAGCTTTGGGCAACCTGGTCTAGCAGAGGGTGTCCCTGGCCATGGCAGGGGGGGTTGGAACTAGATGATCTTTAAGATCCCTTCCAACCCAAACCATTTTATGATTCTATGATCATTGTACGATTCTTTATGATCCTGGAGAAAAGCTTGATAGAGTAAATCCAAAATGCTTAAAAACAAATGTATATGGCTCACAGTGTATTCATGCCTCAGTCCCTGGGGTTGGGGGTTTTTTTTGCTTTTTTAAAAATTTCATCTAATTTTAAGGCTTATGCAGTCAGTGGTTTATCTGGCTTCACCTCTAACAATGAGTAAAACTTGAACCAAAGTTGATAGGGAAATAGGAATCTAAAAGATATTAAATTCCTGTGAGGCCTGCAAAAATAAGCATCTAGGTGGGGAGAAAGACCCCATTAGGGACCTTGCTACGCGAACATGCAGGCACCAGTGAAATCCTGCAGCAGAAAGCACTCGCAAAACTCTCAGTTTGGGTATTTCTCTTTTGGAGTTCAAATATCAGCTCTCGCCCTCGAGACACAAATTCACAGAAAACCAGATTTCCTCCATTCCAGCGCTGATGCAGGTACACCCTGAGTACGTGAGACTATAAAGCAATGCTTGGAAGTACCTCAGAATGATTTGAGTTTGCCATTGGAAAGAGCCAGAAAGCTTCCTCATGGTCACCGAGGGGTTCTTACACCCCGCTGTTGTGTGCACTGGCAGGAGCAGCTTCCAAACGAGATGAGTGCGGCTTGCGCTGGGGACACTGAGGCACTGCAAAGGGAAGGACCTCGCTGGGGACAAAAGCCACTGGGCAGACCGGTAGTAGAGACAGGAGCAGAATTGAGGCCACCCAAATTCCAGCATCCACGAGACACGCAACCTCGGAGATGTCAAGCATCAGGAGCCAGCTGAACCTCCCTGCTGCAAAAGTAAGTGGGCAGGGGCAGGCGGCAGCGCGGCTCTCCCCACAAACACTAAAGTTTTGCTCCAACCTTGCTTCGAGGGAAGTCATTCAAAAGTGAACAGCTTTCAGGGAGGGTTCATTCAAATCTTGCCCATCGACACTAGAAAACTCTCCATAGTTGCAGGCAAAGGTAAGGAAGGGAGATGCTGCTGCCACAGTGTTAATTTGCCTGAGGAGCGGGAGAAGGGAACAAGGCAATGCAACACATTGCCTGGAGAAAGAGAAATACAGGATCTTTCTGTAGGGATTCATCCTGGCTGGGCAGCAAACACAGTCACAATAAAGCCATACAGTTTTTGGACAACTCATGCGGAGCCAAGCAGCTCTCAGCATTAATTTCTAGAGGTTTCTATAGTGGTTTGTAAGAGGTGCACACAGCAGGTCAACCTAACCTCTCTAAAACACAACTTTCAGCACGACTGAAAGGATTATATTTTCAGATTAATGCAATCTGCTACTGCCTTGGGCTCCTTCCATCCTTCCTGAGGGTGTGGGAAACCAGTCTGATTTGCTTTAGCAGGCAAAGGGCAAGAAAAAATCGGTCTTTGTACCATTTTTGCAAAGATCAGTTTGTTACTCCAATCTCCTTAGATAGCTCCAGAGCCACGACATGTGGCACTTCAGTAAACGCTGCATGAGAAACAGTAGCTTCACAGTGAGTGGAAGTTTCTCATCGCCTGCTCTGAGCCAGGAGCTGGACTGGCTGGGGTCCGCGGGGGCCGGCCGGAAACCATTCCACC